TTGGATGGGAAAGACGAAAGAAAGAAAGAAAGTAAATCAATGTTTATCAGGTTAATTTGACATAAACACACTTTCTTGACAATGCTTGTCATTGTGTGCAAAAAATGTGTATAAATAAAATGTTTGACGTGTGTTAATAGGGAAATTGCTGGCAAGCTTTGTTGACGCATGTACTTTTTGGGTCGCAGCTGCTTGCAGCGCCACTTCAACAGTGCAATACCCTCATGAGGGACGAGCAAAATATCAAACATGCCAGATATTCGTGCAAGCTTACAAGTGCTGATCGGTAACTGGTCACGTGGTGTTAATGGCCTCTCATAGCCCCCTGTATACATGATGCTAAGAACAAAACTCGCCCCGATATCGTAGATTCTTGCACGAGGGGAAAATTGGCTCAAAAAATGAAAACTTCCTACAGTGTGGGGTTGCCGTGTCTCCTGCGAGCTAATACTGCAGTGCTGACAACTGTAATTTGACGACGTCCGGTAAAAAGCTCCAGGGCTGTTTAAAGTGGTTGCAGGAACCAAATTTTACCACAGGATGTCATTTCTACATCATTTCTGCATAATGCACCTTTGAACCTCCCCCATTTTCTTGTTTATCCTTTCTTATTTAATGATGTCATGGTCTGCATCTGCCCCTTCCTTCATGTGCCTCCTGGTGTTTCTCCATCCTCTCTAGATTCCCTTCTGTGTCCTAGCGCCCTCATGTGTCATGTCTGCGTCTTCCTCATGTGTCTTCTTGTTTTCCCCATTTGCCCCTAGATCTCCAGCCCTCTAGGTTTCTCAAGTCATTTCCTTTAGTTACAGCCTTTCATGATTTAGTGTGTTTTTTCCCATCAGTGTTTATTATTTTTCTCCCTCCATCCTTTGAATTGTAGTTATGTTTCCTGCTCTTTTGTTTTAGGTTTTATTCTTAGGTCAAGTTAGTTTCTCCCCTGATTAGTCATTGTCTTCACCTGGTCCTCCTCCCACACCCCACACACCTGCAGCTCATCTCTCTCTCATCCTTCCTGTGTATTTAAGCCCTGTCTTGTCTCACTGTCTTGTCGGTCCATTGTTTGTACTCTGTCAGTCTCGTCTCTCATCTTGGATTATTAGGGTTTTTGTTTTCCAGATCATTATCTGGATTTTGGCTCCCAGCCTTTGGACTTATTTTTGTTCTCCTTAAAAATAAAGAATGTTTTCTTATTCATCATCTCTGCCTCGTGTCATCCTGGGTGCTGAATTTTGGGTCCTACCATCTCGTAAAGTGACAAATAATTTTATATTCATTCTAAATGCAGAGTCACTGCTAGTAAAACATAAAGCTTGCTCTATAAACAGCTGCTGTTGGAAAATGAAAAATAAGATTCTGGAAGAATTTCATTCATATATTCTCCAGCTGGGTTTAGAGGAGAGTCACCAGTCCTTTATGGTAATCTACCATTATGGCTGAGAATTCTTCATGGCATTTTTCACTGACAGAAAAGCCTTAAGAATCTCGTTGTTTTACATGGAACAGTTATATTCATTCAATAAAGTGTCTATTACTTTGACCTGATTTTAATATTTTTAAGGTGTTTCAATTAAACGCCAGAACTGCAGCTCGAGTCTGATACATGTATTATTCGTAAAAACCACTAGAGGACGCTAAAGTAACAACCTCTCCAGTTGCAGAACTTTAACAGTCAATGATCAAACCTCGATGTGTGTGTGTGTGTGAGAGAGAGAAAGAGTTTGATTAAAATAAAGGATTTAATCTGTCTCCAGCTGCAGATTTTGTTTTTGGAGCCATAAAGTAAATATTCAAATAACATTTTATTTAACATTTTTTTAGATGTAGAAGAAAAGTACTTCCCCTCAGAAAAATCCTGCTATTCACAGATTCCCAGCCAGTATTCTGCTGCTCCCTACTGTCAACTTCAGGAACAGAACCTTTCTCATAAAAATGAGATAAAATCAAAATGATCATTCTCACAAATGAGTTAGTGAACATGTTGCACGACTCCTTTGCTAAATTTGATGCTTTACCATTCTCTTTTTGTCACATCAAACAATTGTGTTAAATAAAGAAAAAAATTCAAGCGTCCACCACAAATAGACCACTGAGATTTTAAAAGTGATATGTCTGCATCTCACAGGATGTCCAGACACAACAGAGACAACCAAAACAGGTTTTGTGGCTGAACTTTGGCCATGCCGGTGTATCATGTATCACAAGTTGTGCCTGCAGAGTATTTTTATTCAACATGTGACTACTGCATATCAAAGAGAACAACTCAGCTCAGACTGGCTGATTTAAATCTTGTTTGGGGAATATTGTTTATTATTTTATTGACACGCTTGACAATAATTTGTTGTTTTTCAAACAACCATTAATAAAGAATTAGAGGGAGGGTTAGCTGCAACCTGAGCACATTCAATGCTTGGATGTTTGTTTCTTTCTTTTGTGTAAAAAAAATAAAATAAAGAAATAAAAATCTTTCTATGCTTTTTTTTCTCATTTTCCCCCAGCCGGTAAATAACTCATAACAAATCTCTTCTTATTAATTGAAAGCCTCCATAAATGCACCCACACCACTCAAGCTTTATCTTCAAATCAGAAGACTATTGACAAACTGGACAGATTATGCCTTTCAGAACCCAGAACTCACGTGTTTAGAAGCTGCTGTCTGGAACAAAATCATTACAAGTGTTGACTTCCAGACTTCCCCTCTTCTTTATGCACTATGAGCCTTGCAGAATTTTTACACAGAAAAATATATGAAACCGGCCATGTTTATCCATGTCTTCCCATGAGATTTTTCTAGCACTTAAAATGAAAACATCTTGAAAGGGTTTATGTAATCCATCTGTTTCTACCAAACTAGACGTTGGAAAAATATTTTTAAAATAAATTAATCTCAGTGGCCTCTTGGTAGAGCGTTCTCCCTAGGACTGGGAGATCAGGGTTCAAATCTGGACGGGTCATACCAAAGACTTCAAAAATGAGACTCAGTGCCTCCCTGCGAGGGGCGGCGTTAGGCCTGGCTACTGGCTCAAGCCCCGAATGTTTTATGAAAAGACTAGTGCGTGTTATGTGTGTGTGCGCGCACGCGTGTGTTAAGCCCCGGATCTTCTTCAGTCCTAACTCCGCCCCTGCTCCCTGCTTCACACTTAAGGGGTTGGATTGGGGGGTTTAAACCACCAAATCGTTCCCGAGCGCAGCCAGTGCTGCAGCTCACTGATGCACCTCACAGCTCCCCCTGGGTATGGGTCAAATGCAGAGATGTTCTTTCACCAGTGTGTGATGATGACTAATGGGACTTTAACTTTGCCAATATTTTTTATTGTTGCCACAATTTTGTTGCCACAAAAATTGTTTGAATGTGGTTAAATGCGGTCATGATCTTCATTTGCTTGTTTGTTTTTAGTCTAAATCAGACTGTGAAGGTGCTGAAGGTGAGGAGGGGACTGGAAAACAGCTGCCACGTTCCTGCAGACACAGAAACTTGATTGTTATTAGATCTGGACCAATTCTTCAGTTCAAAGATGATTGCTGAGGCAGCGGAGTTGCTGCATAATCAAAGAGCTTTACAAACAAGTAATCCATGAACTAACGAATGGCACAAACACAGAAAAGAGAACAACTGCAGACAGAACCCACTCTGCTTCAAGTAAACCCGGCCTGAAATAAGGCTGTGTTCAGTAGAGAGTTGCTCTGGATCAGACTAGGACATATAGTAAGCAGTCACATGCTTGATCACAGCTGTATCACACGGTGGCAAAGGGGAGCCAATTACGTCACCAGAATGCTCATCAAATGTCAAAGAGGTGCACACAGTCAGCGCTGCAGGAAGGCCGTTGGTACCGCCAAGGACAAATGCTGTCACGCCAGCTCCTAAAGCAGGTTCGCAAACGTGTTAAAAAGTTAGAAATAAGCTTTGATGCATAAAATTTAACAGGATTTAAATTGTAATAGATAAAGTCCTTAAATAGCTCCTTTTTTTGTTCTCATGTTGCTTTTTAGCCATGCATCTCTATAGTTTATATTAACCTTCTATAGAACCCATGTATGGGACCTGATTTAGACATAAATACAATCGTCACAGCCAAGTCGTAATTAGGTCAACTTCTATTTATAGGATAGTTTATATAATATTAAATGATGCAAGACTTTAATTTTCCTTTTACTAATCATCCTGGTTAATGAATGTGTTACAGTACAGGTGAAACGATCCAAAGTTCAAAAATTCATTCATTTGTTCAGTTTTATGATATTTGCAGTATAATGTGACTTGAGTGCATTCCCTTTGATAAAGTTTCTGTGGTTTAATTATACTTAATGTCTTATTATAGCCTGGCCTGCCAGACTCACCCATAAGGAAGCATTGGCATGGCTGACCAGGCTAGTCTTATTACACAATATTAACACGTTGATTTTAAGATTCGCGTAACAGTTATTGTTGTATGTTTTTTAATCAAAATAAATGACTTTGTTTTCATGCTAGATTTAAATGAAAACCTGAAATGATGACTTACAGATTTTTAACAGCACAATTAGGACATTAGTTCATGTTGATTTAACAACCTCTTTTTTAAAATAATGCACAAATGTGAGGCTCTCATAAAAAAAACTGGTTTCCAAATGCACCAGTAGTAAAATCTCAGACACCACAGGAGAGATCAGAACAAAACTCTCAAAGCAATGGATAAATGCACATGTTATGACTAATAGCTGAGAGTCAGTCACAAAACCCACTTTGGTGCTTTTTGACTTACCGTAGTACGGTCTTATGTTATGTCAGAATGTGCAAAATGTCATTGGCCAATTTTGACAAAAGCATCTAACTTTGTTTCTCAACATACAAGGATCTCTGTTTAAAATTCTAGGAAGAAGGTAGTGGATGATTTATGCATTCAAAATTATATGAAATATTTATATTATATATGAAATTATTACTATATTTGATTGAACAAATTCATTACAAATGTGTTGTAAACTTGTCATACACAAAGAACCAAAATAACAAAACACAGTTATTCTTCATTACATTTAATAACATTGCATAATATGAAGCATCACTTGCATTCCTCTACTGAAACACAAATTCCCTAAGATTAATTTTTTCCCAAAAATATCAAAGCAGTTCAACACATTCCACTCTAAAAGCTGCAAAGGAATCATTAGACATAATTTTTTTTACCATGAAACATCTTCCTTAAAATGTTTTGCTTTGCGCTCAAAAGCAGCCAAATATAGTGAGCGAGGCTATGGTAGCACGAAGTGTAACTGACCCAGATGTGCAACAGGAGAAAACATCAGAGGCAAAAGGTGTACAATATTTGATATGGACCACAGAGTTTTAATGAAAATATAAAAAAAAAATACTATTTCCTGGGAAATCCAATAAAGTTTGTAAAAATATATGCAGAATTTTTCCTGTTTGATGAATTAAAAACTTTACAAAATAATAGTGTTAAGACGAAAAAGTTCCTTTATGACCTACGTTAATGTTTTATACATGACTTTATATAAAAAAATATTGGAAAGAGATATAATTGTGTTTTCTGAGGGCGCTTTTCATTACGCTAACATGTATCCTCGCTTGCTTCACGGCTCTTCCCTCTTTTTTAGTTCCTCCTATAGTGAAATTATGGAAAAGAGATTGTTGCAAGGAACTATCAGTCTTTTCCAGATTCCTCAGAGCAGAAAAAGGGTAACAGATCACAGTGAGAGCAAAGATGTGAGGAAGAAGTTCGTAGAATGAAAAGCATCCTCAGTAATGAGGAGGTAGTTTTCGCCTCCTGTGCCCTAGTTTTGTGACATTCACATACCAAATTGTACCTTGTCCTCAGAACTTTGGCTTTCAGATGGATAAGCCTAAAACGCTTGACAGTAGCCAGGCCAGAAAAGCAGTTTATATTGAGATTCCTGACTGAATTAAACAAATAAACATTTGTTGCTATTGAACAAATATGTGCTATTTAAGCTGTTTGCAAATCAGATGTGCAGCAAATCAAAATCATTTATACCTGCATTTAAGACACAAAGACACAATCCGGAGGGGAGCTTGGTGCAATCTGACATAGACGTCCCCATCATCGTTTGTTTCACACAGTTTGGTGAAAATCTTTGCTTGGTTGATTTTAAAATGAGCAAGAGGGTGCTCCGGCCTCTTTTCGTGTAAATAACTTTGATAGATTGTCAATCATGATTCTGGATTGAGGCTTTAGTTTTCAAAGCTCAATAAAAACTGCCTTTTTTTCTGGCAAGGCTAGTGGAAGTAGGACTGCAGGGTACCACGGCGGCGGACATCTGTCGTCCAGCAGTGGAAGCCACCACCAAGGGAGTTGGCATGGCGAATGTTCACCTTTATGGTCTTGATACCTGCAAAGAGGTGAATTTGTGCATTACAAAAACCTACTGAAACGGTTTCTTCTCATCTTAAAGTAGATTTAGACGTACCGAGGCTCTCAAACATTTTGTGAATGCTGGTTTCGTTGGCGTCAACCATGACACGTTTCTCATCCAGCATCAGTACATTCATAGAGAGCCATTTGGACGACATCCACAGTGGATGGTCTGCACAAAAATGTTTTTTAGGAAAATCAAAAAAATCATATTTCTGTTTAAATAAGTTTCACATTAGGTTCATACCGTCAGGAATCAAAGGCACCGGAGGTTTCACAATAGTCCAGCCAGCCTTCTTGAACATGTCCACCTGAGGTAGAAAGGCAAATAGAAGGGAAAATTACAGAACATTTGTAGTTGAAATTATTCATTTCCACAAGATGTCAGTATAGAGCTCTCTTAAGAGATGGGAGAAGTCCTGTTTTAGAATACCTGTCTACATGGGCGGTCAGGGTTGGACAACACCAACCCAGGACCAATGATGTTAAACGTAGCATCGATGTGCATTGGGTTTGGGTCCTTGAAAGAGATAATGTGGACCTTGAAGTCTGGGGCCAGATGACGCCTCATCCACTCGATTCCCATGTAATTCGTAACCTGAGATGGAATCACATGTGCAGTGAACAGGACACAGTTTTACTGAATCAATAAGAATTTCCATCCAGTTTTATACCTGACTCCTTTGGACAAAGAGGTCCCTCCCAGCTCGGATGAAGTCAGCAGCGTCAAAGCAGGGCTCATGCTCTGTGGTCACAAACTTCCCCTGGGCAGCCAGCTTGTGCCTGTCCTCCACTGTGCGGATGGGGTAGTCCTGATTGGTGTGAGAAAATAAAAATGTACACTGCAGCAGTTAAGAGGTGAGATACGGTGTCTATCCACGTACAAGTACAATAAACAGCTGAGGGCAAAGAGTTCAGAATTGATATGAAAAACCTGCAGGAGGTGTTTGAAAGCTGCTGATAAACGAAAGCCTAATCTCACAAGCTTTCATAAGCATTAGTCCAATGTTTGAAACTAGGACATTTCCTGGGCCTCACCTGATCATACAGCTCATCAGCCATTGTGGGTTTGGGCGCTGTGGTCCATTTAGCACCTTTATGGAAGTACTCCTTGATCAGAGGTCTGTAGGCACGATACTCAAAGAAACGAGCCCTCCAGGCCATCGGAGCCTCAATAATCTCGTTTCCCACAACCAACAGGATGTCTCTGGGCATAGCAGCATACATTCCTACAAGTTTGTGCAAAACATACAAGATACTGTATCATTCAAATCCATAACAACACACTCAGTCACCGACACGGTTGTGTCCTTTTACCCGTTGATGTGAAATCTGGAGTTGTGTATGAGACAGACCAGTCGAGGGGTTCCGGCCTCCTCACAGTGACGCCCTCGTGGCGCAGAATATTGCACATTTCCTCAATCTCAACAACAGCTTTTTTCAAGTGGTCCGCAGGAAAAGACTGCCCCCCATGCTTCTGATAGAAGGACCAGTACTTCTCATATGTGTTTGCCTGTGTTTTACAACAAGATAGCAGTTATAAAATCACTCTCGCACATTCATGCACTCTCCAGGAGGAGGATCTTGGCGGGCTTACCTTCACTTCCACAGTGAAGGGAGGCACATGAGCATTCTCAGCTCGACCCACAATCACCTCCTCAAGAGGGTCCCATTCGTTGTAGCTGCAGACGGGACATTCCTGCTGAAGGGGCTCAGTAACGGCTTCCTCTTCAACTGCATGATGTTGTGCAGCTGCTGCACTAGAAGTGCTCTGGAAAGCCTTCTGCACCCAGCCAGTGACAGAACGGCCAAGCTGAGGATGGTTGGGAGAGAAAATGTGCAAAGTGCATAAAATATTCTGGTTTTCATTAAGAAAAACTCATAAACATAAAAGATGTTTAGCAATAGTCCAAACACTCGATTTTGTCGCTTTTTTGCATAAATAGAAAAAAAATCACAAGTGTTGAAAAGAAATTAATCAATGAGGCATATTTGAATAAGAAATGCCCTCAGTACGGTATTGGTATCGCGCCAAAGTACGTGTGTTATTAAGTGGTTTTATCTCCTCAGATAGCAGTTACAGTGTGGCCCCTGCTGGCTCCAGATCAATGGTGTCACTGAGTTTGAGAGCCATTTGTGCCAAACAGCTGTTCAGTCACTCAGCAACCAAATGGGGGGAAAAAACGTGCTGCTAGGAAAATCAGATCAGTCTTTGGACTCAGCTTACTTTGAGTTCTTCTGAGAAAACACGATTTTCCCCCCTCTCTGTAACTCAGCCACACTCAATGTGTGTTCCAACAAAACGCCTAAACACACAAACAATTAATCAATAAATAAATTAGGCTGATCAAACATCATCAGCTCAGATGTAGAGAAGGAAAAAAAAGTCAAACAAGATTTCTTTATTCGCGTTGATTGACGTGTGCTTGTAATCACAAAAAGAATAATCAGTCAAACAAAATAAAAGCAGGATTAAAATAAATATTTTGTGGGGAAAAAAACACCAGGATACCAACCATGGCTCCGATCAGATGGGCAGCCTCGGCCCCCCTGCTACCTCCTCTCAGACATCTTACTCGCAGCATTTTCCAAAGGAATAATAAACGAAATCAAACAGCAGCTCAGGGTCCGCTTCTCGGTTTGCTCTCGGAGGAAAAGGCTGCGCCTTGCGCGCCGCTTTATAGGAGCGCGCCTACGTGCCTCTGAGACCATTGGACGCTTTCATGTTGAGAGGCAACGTGACTTGAGAAAAAAAGCATTTCTGAAACACAATCCCTTACGCCAGCAAATTCTTATCAACATGGCTTAAAGCTCTAAAAGCTTCCAAAGGAACTTAGAAATCGATCAAGAACTGTTTTGTTTGCGCAAAATATAAGCTCATAAGGCGGTTACAGGCGTCTGTGCGGCACAGTTTATTCATACGACTGCTTCTGTCTTTTGTTTTTACTTAAGATGCAGAAAATCTAAAATAATTCAAATAAAGGCATCAGCAAACTGACTAAAATCCTAAGAAAAAAACATGTTCTATTTCTTTCATGTACAAAATAACGTTCTGCATGTTTGCTGAAAACCTGCTAAATTTGTGTGTCAAACTGGTGTTAAAAATAACACAATTAAAGCGTTAATTGTTAAACAACCTTCTCTTTTTCACCTGGTTTAGTTTATTTAATATAGATAATTACAAATCTGAGTTATCAGTGTGAGAAAAGCTGCTCCATTCAGTCACATTGATCAAAGAGGAAAGTGTTTAAAATCCGTACTATGGTTTAATCTGAACACTTAGATGAGCTATAGGTCTAATAGCCCGCACAATCAGCCCATTGGAGAAGGTTTGGAATACTGAAAAAGTCGAGCAGAGACCTCATATCATCAAAGAGACAGGGAGCTTTGTGCTGGAGTCCACACCACATGCTTAACTGGACTGTGCTCACAAGAGTTTCACAACCCCCACCCAGCCCACCACAGACCAGTGACTTCTGATATTTCCTTGCCCTCTAAAAAAATCTTTGGCTTCTTCCCATGGCTTGAAGGACAAGCACTTATGTGCTCATGTCTGCAGCATCTTCTTCTGGTTCAAACATCAACATAAACACTGAAACATAAACACTCCCAATAATTTCATAAAATATTATTCTTACTTATTTTAGAGGTCATAAAGAGTGAAGAAACATCAAAAAAAAAGCAGATAAACACATATGCAAACAGTGTGACAACTCACACAGGTGTTACTTTTCAGGTTCACAAGCATGTCAGGGTCTGCTGTGGTCCATGTGATGTAAACAGAGTGAGCGTTAAGTGCAAATGCATGGATTGTTGAGGACGTGTATGGGACTTGCACATTCTGTGTTGTGAAAAAGCTACAGGAGACATTTTCTTCAGGTTTTGCTTTTTAAACACACTTAAATGATCCAGATCAGCAGAAAATATTTTAATCTGTGAAGAAGAAAACTAGAGTGAACGAAAAAAGAAGTTTTCAAACGATGGTTTCATTTGTGATGGGAAAAAGCTTTCCAAATCATCCTGGGCAGTTGTGAAAAAGCTATTACCCTCATTAAATTATGATTTTAACTGACTAACCACATTTTTTTGGAAAACTAAGTTCAAACTTACTAGTGACACCCAGGTCTGATAGTAACACTTGTAGTTAAGAAAACTCAATTTGATTTATTTTATTAAAAAGGAGAACATTTATCTTTTATTCACTTGTTGTTTACCCATTCTAATAGTCTGCGTGATTCCTTCCACTGTTCTAATAATACATATTAAAGGTTTGTGGTCAAAGCTGGTGAAGCCAGAATGTGACAAAGGAAATGTACATAGTGGTGATGAACTGTCACAAAAGGGCAGGTGTGCTGCAACTTCATATCTTTGGTAGGTATAGAACAGATAAGATATGCGACAAAGGCGGGTCTAACATGAATGGCTCCCCCCTGTCTTCCCCTGAACCTCACTCCTGACTCACACCTTGCAAGAAGCCCACACCCTAATGACCCAACCTCTAAGCACAAAAAATTAGCAACATTCTGCAACCAAAGCAATTTCTGTATTGTAAAACTTATCAAAATTTAGAGAACCACATATATTTCTATGGTACGTTATATATTGGTGTTCTTGACCTTGGCTGATACTATTTGCAGAGTTTTTGATGGATTAAGGTACAACAACAGGGTCTGAAGCTAAGAGCATTTTATTTGAGATGTTGATAAACGTTCAAAGTTCATTTCTGTCCAAGTTAAAGGAATAAACACTCAATAGAACTACACATTTCAAACTAAGTCATATTTTACTTGAATGCAATGTCTACTGTCTGAGCTGACAGACACATTTAACAACATTAGAGGAAAGTTCAAAATTAAGCTATAAGTTTACTATTTTATGAGGAATCTGGAATCTTGAAGCCAAGCTGAAGTCAACTTCCCATGTTTGCCTAATGGTACCAACATGGTGAAGCTGCTTTTAGCTACTATGCTGCACAGATGAAATCAGCTTCCTCATGACCTCAAATGTGCCCCAACTCTAGAAACTTTGAAATCAAAATTGAAATCCTTCATGTTTTCATCAACCTTTGAGTGAGTGTGCTGATACTGCACCTTCTGCACTGTATTTGCTCACCCTTTAACTTTGTTTCTTTTTCACTTTAAAATTGTATTTTCGGTCACGTTGATTTTAAAGTTCTTGCTAATGGAAAGCACACTGAATTGCCTCTGTGTGCTGTACGAATAAAGCTGCCTTGCCTTGCTTCTGTCCAAAAGGCAAAGCAGAAGCATCATTGGGGAAATACCTTCAGTTATTCAAAACAGGTTTCCAGTTCATCGTGGAGACACACAGAGAGACAACCCAGACCTACAACCATTCACACATAACCTAGAAGTCTAAACAAACTGTAGCAGTAGCAAAGGATTTAGCTCTGCAGGTTGGACCACGCTCCATTGTGGTTTCAGCAGGCCTGACATTGGCCCGAACAACTTCAGGTCTGGCCAGTCACAGTGCTCTGTTTGTAGAGAAATAATGGGCAGGCTTTGCACCAGGGATGTAATGGAGAGAAACTACAAAGATGGTGTCGGCTCAGGAACGGCGCTTTTTTTAAACAACTTTGGACAATTTAGACTTTGCCTTTTCTTTGAGACATGAGCAGATAGAGGTCCTTAAGTCCTTTATTTAAAAAAAGGATGTATTAATTTCTTCTTCGATGGTGTACGGCAGACTGCCCCATTGACTGATTTCTATAGTGGTGAACACGTCATGTTGTTCTGTATCAGAATCAGAAGGGGTTTATTGCCATATGTAGGGGAAATCACAACATTAGGAAATGTTTGAGGTACTTGGTGCAAAACGAAAGATAAAAAAGATGAGTAAATACTGAAAGTAAGAATATAATCATGATAAATCATTAATATAAAGTGGCAATAATTAGAGAAACAGCCACTATTTACAAGACAGTGTTGGTTCTAATCAGAGCGGATCAGTTCAGGTACAAACACAACACAGGGTCATGTGACTGAAACCAAGCAATTCGAGTGGACAGCCCAAGAATTGTCATTTAAGAGTCCAACAGCAGAGGCAAAGAAACTGTTCTTGTGGTGAGAGGTTCTGGTCCGAATGGATCTGAGGCTCCTGCCCGATGGGAGCGACTAGTCAAAAAGACTGTGTCCAAGGTGGCACAGGTCAGCTGCTTTCCGACCTGCACGGCTCAATGTCCTGGAGGTGTACAGGTCCTGTATGGAGGGGAGTTTGCAGCCAATGACCTTCTCAGCATAGTGTACAATACGCTGCAGCTTCTTCTTGTCACTGGTGGTAGCTCCAGCTTACCACACGGTGATTGAAGAGGTGAGGATGGACTTGATGACTGTGGTGTAGTCATTGACTTCATCGACTGTACTGGCAGGTTGAATTTCTTCAGCTGCCGCAAGAAGCAAATCCTCTGCTGGGCCTTTTTTATGATGGGGGTGATGGTGGACTCCCACTTGAGGTCCTGGGTGATTGTGGTGCCCAGGAAGTGACATAAGACCACCATCGTGATGGGAGTGTCAGACAGGGTTAAGGGGGGGAGTGGGGCTGTGTGCTTCCTAAAGTCCACAACAACCAGGTTGGGGCTGCACCAGGACACCGGTTGTTCGACCTCCATTCTGTAGGCAGACTCATTCCCGTCAGAGATGAGTCCAATGACGGTGGTGTCATCTGCAAACTTGACAAGCTTGACAGAATCGTGGTTGGAGGTGCAGCTGTTGGTGTACAGGGAGAAGAGCAGACGGGAGAGAACACAGCCCTAAGAGAAACCAGTGCTGATGGTCCACGGGTCTGAGACATTCTTCCCTAGCCTGACTTGTTGCTTCTTGTTCGTCAGAAAGCCAGTGATCCACCTGCAGATGGGGTTAGGCATGTTCATGTGGGACAGTTTGTCTTGGAGGAGCTGAAGTCCACGAACAGGATCCTGGCATAGGTACCCAGGGAGTCCAGATGCTGGAGGATGTATAGTGTAGAGCCATGTTGATGACATCATCTTCAGACCTGTTGGCTCTGTATGCAAACTGCAGGGTTGTCCAGGACAGGGGCTGTGAGGGTTTTGAGGTGAGGGAGAACCAGGTGCTCAAATGACTTTATGACCACAGATGTCAGAGCCACAGGTCTGTAGTCATTGAGTCCAGACATCCTTTTGGGAACTGGGACTAGTGGAGATCTTGAAGCAGATTGGCACATGAGATGCTTCTAGTGAGGAGTTGAAAATGCCCCTAAACACTTGGTGCCAGCTCTTCAGCACAGTGCTTTGGAGTTAGCCTGGCAACGCTCCATTGACGGCTCTCGGTTGTCTTTCAAATGATCTCTGCATGCTACTGGACAATGAATGTGACATAGGCCGCGTTCGAGTTGAGCTGCGCCTCGCCTGGAAAACAGACGAGAGCAGACGGAAGCAGCAGGAGGAGTGGCTAAAAGCCGGCATTCAATTCGGACACAATTTCCTGCATGTGTAGCTCGCGGGTGACGATGGATGAAGATATCGCGTTAGCGTTCACACTTGTTCAATTTTCAGTTTTAATACTGGTGCCTGTTAGCAGCTGAAACACATCCTCACGTGCTTGTGGATGTCATATATTGTATATGAAGACATGACTGTAATAATAAGTAAAGGTTATCAGCTATAGCTTTAGTGTGCTCATAGGAAACGTGACAAAAGAAAACAAAACACATTTC